AGTCTGTTTATGTGATAGCCCTGTGTCATCTCTACACTTAAGGTGGCTTCTAATTTAAAATAGAGTGGCTAGGCGGCCCAGAAACACTGGTGGCTGACAGGCAACCTCCACTCAGGCCTCTCTTGAGATCAGTGGGTTGTTACACTGTCTATAAGTTTATAAGCCATGTGATGAGAGCGTTGATCTTGTCCCCAATCCTTTTGTTGTTGTTGTTGTTGTTTTATTTTCAGTGACAGGGTTTCTCTGTTTAGCCTTAACTGTCCTGGACTCAATTTGTAAATCAGGCTGGCCTCAAACTCACAAAGATCTGCCTGCCTCTGCCTTCCCAGGTGCTGGGATTGCAGGCATGCTTTTTTATTGCTTTTATATGCAATGTATTTTGATCACATTGATCAATCAGTCCCCCTTTAAGTCTTCCCAGGGCCCCTATCCCCCTCCCAACTTCACGTCATTGTCTTTCTCTATGTTGAATTAGCCTTGAATTACCCATGTGGGTATAGATGAAAGGCCATCTCCCGGACCAGGGCAACCCCCACGGGGCCACAGACCTGGGGGTGGGGGGGATGATTTTCCCTTCCTCAGCATCCATCCACTGAATTTGTTGTAACAGTGGGGATTTTTATTAAAAATAGATTTTTTTTCCATACTAAGGATTCAGGCCTTTGTGAATGCCAGAGGCAAGAGCTCTACCTCAATTTGTACTCCATTCCTTGGCCCCAATTGCTAGGAACTGTTTGATCTTCAGTGAGCTACTTCATCTATGCTTCAAGTTCCTTCATTTCTACAAGGAAGAAAACAATACATCATTACTTTATTACGGGACTAAAGGAGATAGTCTACATGGGTCCTTGTTGCGGAGCAAATGCTCAATAAATGCCAGCTAAATGTGTGGATTGCAAAGTCTTCAATATTAAAAATCTACTCATTTAATCACCAAATGGGATTTTTCTACTAGATTTATGTGCCAAACAACAGCAACAACAAAAAAGGTATTGCTCATTGGAATATTTCCGATTCCCAGGGATAGCGAAGTGGAAAGGGTTTGAAAGGAGAAAACAACTGGAACCTAAAAACTATGATGAAAAACCCGGCATGGTCTGGCTGTATGCACAGCACTGGCTAATTGCTCACTCACTGTAGTTGCTACACGAGGCATTAGGTATGGACTGATATGAACAGCCCAAGGTGGACATATGGTCAAACTGATCCAGGGAGTTGCCAAGTCATGGTGAACTGAAAGGCCCCTTTGCACATTGCTTGCAGACTTCGTTGTGGCTCTGGATAGGACTGGTCATTGGGACTGAATGGCCCCTTTGCACATTGCTTGCAGACTCACTTGGCTATGGATAGGACTGGTCATTGGGACACAAGACTGAAATAAAGCTGACCTTTCATTATTTTGTCTTCAAGGTGTGCTGCAGAAAGATGGCAGGCTTCCCCAGAAGCATAGTCTCTCTTCAGCGTGGGTGGGCACGTCATTGTCACCGGCAGTGTTGCAAATGCCTTCCTGGGGTGGATCATAAGAGGGCAGCAAAGGAGATTGATGGAGGCTGGAAATAGAGAGGGACATGGACTGCCTGTGAAGATAAAGCGCAAAGAAGGACCAACAAGGGAGAAGAAATGGAAGCAACCGGGGGCAGGGGAAGAGTGGGCCTGGCAAGGGCGATGTGAGATGGAAACACATGAGAACAAAGTACAAGGACACATATGTATAAAGATTCCATAAAGAAGTACATTACTTTGTGTTCTGACCTTAAAAGCTAATTTTAAAAAAAAATCTCCCTCAAATGTTTTCATTACCTACAAACTATCCTGGTACTTCACTAGACATTGTACTAGAGACTCCCAAGTACCTGAAGGTACTGTCTTTGTTAACACTGTATTAGGTGCCACTGTGACAGAAGTCTCTTGCTGTAGCAGACACCTCCTTACCAGGTCATACCTATTGAAAGGCCTGGGATAGGCGCACGTGCAGCAATTGCTGGGAAAGTCACTTTGCAGACATTCCGAGGAGACCGGAAAGAGTCAAAAAAAAAAAAAAATTGTATGGGTCTCTTTGTGTGTGTCTAGTGTGTGTGTGTGTGTGTGTGTGTGTGTGTGTGTGTGTGTGTGTGTGTGTGATATGTACCTGCATTGCACTTCCCAGAATATAATTGGAAAATGCTGGCTTCCTTTCAAACCCTCTATTAATGCCCCTGGACAATGTGCACAAGTCAGAGTTACCCATCCAACATGCTTTCTCTGGCTCACTAGTCACAGCTGAACAACATCCTCCCCAAATTCTTCAAAAACCATGAGCTATCGTACCATCACAACCCCCCTGTTCAAAGGGAAGAGCACAGGATGTTTTTGATGTGAGCCTCCCTAAAACCATTAGTACAACAGCAGTATACACATTGCATTCATTCTAGGGAAAGCTTTCTCACTTTCAGTATTCTAGAGATGAGTAGAATTTTTTTAAAAAAAAAAAAAAAAAGGAGACTCATCAACTGCATAACAGTTTGTTTTCTATTCATTTTAAACAATCCCTTTGTGATATAATGCTCCTGGAAAGCCATTTTCATTTATTTAATTTTAAACCAACAAGTCCAAGTTATACATATTTATTGCAAGCAGCATACTTTGGTATATAGATGCTGCATGTTTGCACAATTTCAGAACTGCCTGACAGGCATTTCTCAAAACATACCTCCTTCCCTGGCTAAGCACATGCGTATGTATGTGTTGCCACGTGGCTGACTCAAGCTACTTCACTCTACACGCTAATCCCTTTCTCCTTCCTATGTAATAAAACACTATTCTGTAGGCTTTTTGTGCGGACTCTGCTGAAGTCATCACAAGCACTGATGTGAAGAGATCTGAATGACTGGGTGTGTACATCATAAGCGAAGGTCAGGGCTGTCATTTCTAAACACCTTGTCCTCGTGTTTTCCAGAGTGACAGTAGCTTTGATCCAGGCAACCTCCCTCACTATCTAAGGGAAATCAACAAGCATGCTGACCACATTCGCTTCAGGAGAGACATCTCAATACATCTTTATGACCTCTAAAATTTTAAAGTATGTTAAGCCTGTGGTCCCAAAAGGCAGCTAAATGCATATTTAAGGTGAAGCTCGGTTCACTCTCTCTTCATGAACGGAGCCTTGCAGAGGGTATGGGGATGGGCACACTAAATAAATCCCCTGCCCAACCCATAACTTACAATAACTAACAACTTTTATTCTTCCACTTAACATCTGTGGACAGCTCTAGTCTCATTCATTCCATTATTAATCTTTGGGGAAGCCTCCCTGCCATACAAAAGCCTCGCATATAAATTCTTAACCATGCCTCTGCAAATTAAACAAAATGTGCTTCAAGCTTGTTTGAATTCAAAGGCACTTTGTGATTGATTGGCAAACAGCTCTGGGGCTATGTCCAAAGATGACAGAGCTACCCACAGTAGCACAGCATTTTAACTTGGGAAAATCCTCATAGGATCAGGTACCTGGCACCGCACAAGAGCAGGGGAGGCTGTGTTCTGCAAACTGTGTCCCATGAGGTCTGCATGGAGGAAGGTGCCCTACCCTGCCTTATCTCTAAAGAAAAAAAAAAAAACCTTCCCATCTTTGTCAAGAGCGTCACCAAGCAAGGTCAGATGATGGTCAGCCAGCCACATTCTACCTCACACTGTCAAGATCAGTAGGTAGGGAAAAGCTTTTAGGATCAAACTCTCATTATAGAGCCCTGGAGATTACAATATGCCAAAGTCATCTTTGTCAGCAAAAGTTCTATAAACACAACCACCTCAAGCATACCAAGTGGAAATAGTCAAGGCAGACATCAGCGATTCCAGCTGAAATCTATTCCTCCTGAGTCTAGGGGATTGGCATAATTTGACCACCAGACACAGTCTAAAATCCAAGGCCTTGAGAAAAACTACAGTCTTTAGGGATGAAAATGTCACCACTGACACCATTGAGTCACTGGTGTCTGCCACTGGTCATTACTTTTGGAATGTTGAGAAATGTTCTTGCTTCTCACGGGCTCACACGAGATTCTGGCTGGACTGATGCTGGAACAAAGAACTCTGCCACTTCAGCCCCATCCTAACAAATCAAAGTAGCTAGGTTGTCAGTGCTTCTCCAGATATGATCTGGGGACTAATTTTGTTTAAAATGCTTCTTCTCAGAGCCTACCCTACACGTGCTAAGTCAGAACCTCTGGGGATGGGGCCAAGCTGTACATTCAGGTTCATGTTGGTGTCTGTGGGGGTGCTCATGAAAGGACCATTCTTCAGGCACTGTTCACCTTTCCCTTGATGTGAGCCTCTTATTGGCTTGGAACTTCCCAAATGGACTAGGCTAGCAGACCATCAACACCAGGGATCCCCCTACCCCCATTGCCACAGCATAGAGATTTTTAGCAAGCCACCATGTCCAGCTTAGCTGGGTCCTAGGGATTGAGCCAAGGGCCTCACATTTGCCCCAGGTATTGTCCCAGCCCCCATTCCAGGTGAGTCTGATGAACAAGAAAAATTTAAGAAGAATGATTCATTCACGTGTTTTCTTTTAACACCAAGAACTCCACTTTGAAGGAATGATGGTCATGCAACCAGTAAACATATTCCCCAGCAGGCCCTGCGGCAAAGGAGTGCGATGATGTTTATGTGGATATAACTGAGAGGGGCCTCCAGGAGAGCAGGTTTGAAAGAGCCTGGTTCCCCTGGGAGGGTTAGTCCATAAAAAGAGGCCTCATCATTCTAGGCCTTGTTACAGAGTCCTGCACCATGGGTGGCTTGGCTGCATCAAAGTCCGTGTACGAAAAGATAAAGTTAGAAGGCTTCAGTCACCTTAGGAATGCAGAAGAGACATGAGGGCTATAAAATTATCTCTAACCTTGGTTCTTAGAGATTCACTTATGGTTTTTGTTTTGTTTTGTTTTGTTTTGTTGTCGCTAGCCAATAGCCAGGGAACCCAGAGAATGGAGTTAATTGTTACATGATCTCAGGCTCACATGCTACAAATTTCAGAAACAGGACACCTCTTTCACTAATTCATTTTAATAAAACAAAAGATCAAAAATCAGCATCAGGAGAAAACACAATGTAGTTGAGCCTATTGGAAGTAACGGCTCCCATACGGGCCACCATAAAACACACCATGAACTGTGAACAGTCTTGCTCAGTGAGGGTATGCCTCTTTTCTTTAGCCCTCTAGAGAAGCCATTCTCATTTGTCTCTCGGGGCAAAAACAAGAAGTGAAAAGAAATGTATGGCTAAGATGTTGTACATTATGCCCCAGTGACCTGCCACAGAGACTATTTTTAAAGCCACATTTATCCCACCAGGAGTGACAGCAGTTATGAAATAGCCAGGCACCATGGCCAGATAATCCTTCATGTGGGAGGCTGCAGACCATGGCTGCATCTTTCACATAGTCCATGTGATGGATAGACTTGAAATTGCCCTTGGTTGGTTAGGTAGTTGGTTTAAGGATCCGTAAATGTAATGTAGAAGCCAGAGCTTAGAAATCAAGTACAGTTCACCTACAAATGACTGCAGGCACCCCTACACTCAAAAATTAATCAGACTTAATTTTACAAGATCCATCTGGCTAAAAAATGTGAATTCTAACTGTCTTGTACATTTCGTGAGTGGTAGCTGCTCACTGAGGCAAATTATCCCATTAGAAAATACTGTTATGGGGGATACATAACCACAGATTTACACAATTCTCTCATGATCCTAGCCAATGCATTACATGTCACAAGAAAATAGGAAAGGAAATTACAGCTATATTACAGAAAGTTTCTCATTATCAGTGGAGTATTGTTAGTTAATACCTATAAACACTGAAAGAAGCATGAATACATTCTGTATATTTATATATATTTATATTTGGGAAATCGGGGTGTCACTTCAGAGCTGCTGCATCGTCCTTCCCTGTACAGAAAGTAATGGTGGTGTAATTAAAGAGGAGGAGGCCAGAGAAGCAGGATCAACACGTTACCCAGATTTAAAGATGGAAAGGTCTCAAAAAATTCACTCTTCCCCCTTGCTTACTTATACTCCAGAGGATTACAGAAAGATGGCTTCAACTGGCACGAGAGCCAAGCAATTCCACAAAACAGAAAACATTCAACATAGCCGTTGGTCTGGTTTAGATTTGGGGAGATTTCTAATAAGCGACGTTTGACATTTTATCGCTCTTGTATGTGCTGCAGATAAAAGTAAGCAAACTAGTTCTTATGGATGATGTTCCCCCGGCCCAGGCACGCACAGCTCCAATGACTGGAACCCCTAGCTCCCTGTCTCTACCATTGCTAGAAAGTAAAGATGAACACAAGTTGCGCCTCAGCATGGAGTCAAGACTTCCTGTGACAGCTGACACCTGCTGGAGCAGTTTGTCCTAACTTCCTCTCCCCTTTTGCTTTCACACCCACATTCCCACCTGCGTCTCAGGAAGAGTTTCCTTAGAGCACTGAGGAAATGGATGTATTCCACGCCCACCATTTCCTAACCTGTGTGCTAATGGCCTGTTTCAAACATGTTCTGCCAGGAAACAGAACATAAGTTTCTCATAGAAACTGAACATGATAATAAGTATGTGTTGTGTTTTCCTTTGAAATCAAACGGGAAGAATTCGCACATTGAAGAAAGGTGGTTATATTTTCCCACCCTTAATCAATTATCTGCACTGTTTTATTTTCTAAAAAAAGAGTGCCAGTAGCCACTAAAAAATAAAAATAATAAACCTTTTTCTTTGGGTAAACAGCATCAAACGGCCTATGGATTTGAGCTTCACACCCAATCAGCACAGCAGAGAAAAGTAACTGTCCTGCCAAGTTGAAGAAAAGTTTCCTGGTGAAGGAAACTGCATGTGGCTTGCTAAGAACATTCTCCTGACAGCAAGCAAGATGGCTGAATTAAAATTGTGCTTACACATCAAGCAATTGCACCAAGTTTGAATGGCGAGTCCTCCCCAAATATGGCTAAAACTCTGGCAATATCAGCAGCTACCATTTGTGGAAATAAAGTCTCAAAATTGTTATATACAAACTTAGTTTACAGAATACCCATGCTCAAGTTTCTCTGACTAGAGCAAAACCATAGTAAGTGCCATTCTAAATGTATCATCTCTTCATCTTGCAAAGTTGAGGACGCAGGGGAAAGAAAAGTCAGTCTATATAGATTTTGCTTAAATATTTGGTTTTCCTGTATCAGAGTACCTTCAATACAACTGTGCCAATTTTCAAATGGAAAATACGATAGGTGATACTTTCAAATGCAAATATATATTCTGTTCTTCGAGCCCAGTATTCATATGACGACCCCAACTCCCAAATGAGGCAATCGGCTAGGTCACTGGGCTCCCAGGAGCTACATGGTAGAGGAGCTTAAGTGTTTCTTGTCCTCAACTTCAGTCTGAAATGCAAATAATTCCTTGCACCTCATTTAGAGAAACAGATACCGACTGCTCACTCTTACTGGAGGGCCCTCCCCCTGCCTTTGATGGAGAGACCTGAACCTAAGCACACAGCTCTGGGATCCTAAGGGTGGCTCAGGGCACCCCTAGTCAATCACCTGAGTTACAAATGTATCGACAACTGAAGTGGGTCCTACACTAGGGATCACAAAGTCCATTTCTCCTCCTGCGCTGTCCATGGTGTGTCCTGTGGACAGTGAGAGGCAGGAGGCGAGGCTGTGCTGCAGTGTCCTGGAGAAGATCTTTCCGTCTTTCTTTCCCCTGTGGGCTGTTCACATCAGGACCTGCTCTCGGGTCTCTGGCAGTCGAAGGGCAATCAGGCCACCCCCAACCAGAGAAGCAGCAGCCAGAAGGATGGGGACAACTTTGGTTATCCCAACAAAAGAAGCAAAGATAGTGTTTCCCAGAATGGCGCCAAATTTGCATAACCCATTGAGGATGCCAAAGGCTGTGGCCCTGCAAAAGAAGAGGACAGGAAAGGATTCTGAAATTCTGGGCCTCCATACATGAGCGGCACTACGTTCTTACTTTGTTGTGAGAGGAGGAGGTGTGGGAGTGAATTTTTTTACCTAAATATAAAAACAATGTTTTCAGTCAGGCGCGGTGGCAAACACCGATAACCCCAACGGTTGGGGAGGCAGAGGCAGGTGGATCTCTGTGAGTTGGAGGCCAGCCTGATCTGCAAAGCGAGTCCAGGACAACCAAGGCTATGCAGAGAGAAGTCCTGTCTTGAGGAAAATTTGTTTCCATTTTAGCCAACTTTGGAAATACTGACTAATATAAAGACGCAGGAATATCTAGACTAAACGGCCACTATTAACATTTAGGAGTATTGCCTTCAGGCTTCTTCTTCTTTTTTTTTTTTAATCCTCCTAAGCATATCTCTTATTAAAATAGTTACAAGTAGTACTTGCTTACAGAAAAATATATTTTTAAAAATGAGGCTGCATGCAAAATAAAGTATGAGTGCATCCCTTTCACAACACTCTCTTGTCGCAAAGACAGGAGCTGGCCCTGCGCAGTAGAGCCCCAAGTGTAAGACTACATTTCCCAGAGTCCCGTGCTGCTGGCTGTGTTTAGGCCAATGAGACATAAGTGCAAGTGGTGGCAACTGAGAAACTTTTCTGAAAGAGGATATGAGTGGGCTTTTGCTCTCTCTTCTTTTAATTTTTCCCTTTTGTCTTACTTCCTGCAAAAGAGATCATCTGTGGCGGAGTGCAGGCAAGGGAGAGGCAATACCTGATCTCCCACGCTTGTTTGGTGTTTCTGTCATCCATGGCAGAACCAAGTCCCAGTAATTATCCCTAAATCACACTTAAGTGATAACCATCGTGAACCACACAGCTGTCCCAACCCTGGCTGTATACAGCAGCATTTCTCAACCTAGAGGGGTTAAATGACCCTTTCACAGGGAGGGCCTGTTACCATGGGAAAACACAGATATTTACATTACGATTCATAACAGTGGCAAAATTACAGCTATGAAGTAGCAAGAAGTAGCCTGCCTCTGCCTCCCTAGTGCTGTTTTTAGCATTTTTGATAAAGCTAAACACATACATGTTCTAAGGTGTTTTTTTCTTGATCTCCTATTGTTTCTAAGTGTCTCTTTATTTCACTCTCCTCAATATCTTACTTGTAAAATCACACCCCATTCAACAATAACCATTGTCCTGTCCTTTACTATTTTATAAAACTTAGCATTCTTTGACTCGGAAAAGAGGCTTCAAATATGATATGAGGTCATATCCCATCACCATTCAAAGCCCAGAGGCAGTCGCTGACTTTGGAAATATCGTTAAAATACTTTCCAGAATGTCATTTACCCGTCTTCCACACCGTGCCCATTCCTTATGAGCATTTCTCTTCTGTACCTACAGCTCGAGATCCCCTTGATGAAGAGAAACACCTAATGGTGAACGGTCTGGACCCTCGGCTTTTAAACAGAGTAGACCTTGGCATCCCTGGACATTCTGCCTCCATCCACCTTCTCTTCCTTCTTGTCCAGCCCCATCCCATGTTGCTCCCAATCTTTACCTTTTCTCCTTAGTCCCCATTGGCCAGCCTGGCCTCAGCTGCCATGAGGGTTGCACGACACAAGGCTTTACTCAGTGTTCACTCTTACCTCTCTTCTGAGACAGTTTATACTTGGTCTTTGGTTCTTGCCACTCAATCCTATTAAACTCTAGCCTACCCAGGTCTAGGCCTCTGTCACCATCTTGGAGAGGAAGTCAGTTGCCCAGAGGTGTTTGAAACATGGTCTCCAAGAAGACCAGGACCAGTCCCAAGATTCAGTGGGAGGTAGGCTTCTGGGCAAAGAAACTTAAGTAAGTCCTAGAGGGAAATTCAGGGAAGAACTGACCTCTGGTTGGTGGGGTACAGCTCCACTGTGATTACATCCAGGGCATTCCAGGCTGCAATGCTGGTCCCACAGAACAGACACTGCCACCCAATCATCGCAGACTCGCTGTTGCCAAAAAACAGGAAGAAGCAGCAGACAGCTGAGATGAGCATGGAGCCGCCTGTGGAGACAAGACAAAGGTCTTGAAAGAAACATGAAGAATGTGTCCTGGTGTCTGTTCCCTACAGAATTTGCGTGTCTCTTACTCTTAAAGGCTCAGCTGACCTAGCATGTTATTGAGTTATTAGGTACATGTTCCACTTGGGAAGAGCAAAAATGAAAAGAATAAACTCATACAGATTTTAAATACAAGTATATGCAATGGAAAAGTAAATATTGACATAGATACATGGAAAGAGAGGAGATACATTTATATACAACTCAAAATTTAAGATTAAAATTTACTGCTTTCATATACAGCTCAAGTTTTAAGGTATTAAAATTTAACTTTTTTTGAAGAAATGTAAAAAAGAATCAGGAATCTGAGCTCATCCAGCTTACACTCCAATGTGAACACATCGGCAGGTGGGCTACAAAGAGAAAATTCGAGAAGGGCTGTTCTGCTTCTCTGCTTATGACCTGTTCTGGTGTGAATTTTAAATGTCCCCCCAAAAGCACATTTGTTGAACGAAGGGTTGTCCACAAGATACCAACATTCAGAGGTTAAGCCTCGTGAGGCTCTGGCCTCGTGAATGGATTAATTATTTATGGATTCATAGCTTAATAGAGTCTTTCTAAAGAGATTTTAATAAAAATAAGCTCTCTCTCCCAGGTGCGCAGCTCTGCACTATCATGTTTTTCCTGCCATGATGCTCTGCTTAACACAAACCCTAAAGCAACGGAGTCAAAGAACCATGGACCAAAATCTCTGAAGTCAGTAATCAAAATAAATACTGCTTTCTTCTAAGCGCCAAGTCTAGGGTGTTATGTCACAGCAACAGAAATAGGACCAGTACATTCCATCTCCACCCCAGAGATCTCTCTGCCCTCACGGGCCCTACTGCAGCCGTATGAGAAGTTGACCTACAGGAACCATTGTCACCATTATGGGAAGAGACAGGAGTGGGATTGCTCAGTGACTCCCATCCCATTTTAGAAGCTCCGTTTTTGGCAATGGCTAAGTCCCTCCAGGACCACAACTCTCTCCCGCTGATCGCTTCAGGCCCCACTGGGCTCTGTGAGTGCTATTTTCTCTCCCTGGTTCCTGCCATCGTGGAATGGAAGCTGCCTCCCATTTTTGCCAGTACCTGAGAGACTTGCCTCCCTCAACTGCCCCCCCCCCGCAACCCTAGCCCCACGAAGAAAGCTGTCCATCAGGAATGTCTTTGCACTAGGCCACCCGAGGTGAACTCTCTGACTAGGAATCTCACTGACTGAGATGGTGATAAGAGACCCCATTTTTAAAAGGGCTGTCGCAAACCCTGTCCCAAACCCAGGAAGTCTACCCAGGAGAACTTGGGAAGCCTTGGGTTAGTCTGGTCGAGACAGGCCTGAAAAAGGTATGGAATCAGGTGGAGACTGGGCCAAAAGAAAGAAAGCAAAAAAAAAAAAAAAGAGTGTGTCCCAAATAGTCAGTGGGGAGTGCAAGCCTGGTGAAGGAGCTAGGGAATGATAGCCATTGCCCCCTCTGGGAAGGGGCAGGGCTGCAGGCAGGCACTCTAGGTTTTCTCTCTCACAGCCAAGAGACAAGCATGGGAGAAGGAGGCTGGCAACAATGGGCCACAGGCAGGAGTCCTGAGAATAATTCCCTCTAAACACATGCTCTCCTCAGCAAGACCAATGTGAGGCTTAGTTAATGCATTCTGATGAATAAAACACCATTGTCAAATCAAGAGATGGTCAAGTAAAGCTTCCTTGACTCTGTGTTAATGAATCCCATTGCGCTTTCATGTGCCTAATCCTGATTCCTCTTCAAATTAAGAAGGTCTGAGTTCAAGTGTAAGCCCGGCCACTTTTCTATCACTGGGCCTCTGAACAAGTTATTTACCTGCCTGTAGTGTCTCACTTTCCCATCTGTAAAGTGTTAATAACAATAGTATGTACCCGGTGGGATTATGGTGAGGGTTCAAATGCAGTAATGTTTATGAAATTCTTGGAACACAGCCTGGTGGATAATAAGCATCCCAGTGTTCATTAAATGAGATCTCTAGTTCCTGTCTGTCTTTCTCAATCTATCATTTGCTCTTTCAACATGATGATGTTGATGGTCTCAATTACTGTTATATTCCCATTGCTTCCTCCACAGTCTGGCGCAGGGTAAAGACTGTATAAATAAATGCTTATTAAACAAATAAACGAGTGAGTAACAGCCTCATTAAGAAACCTTCTATTCTGTCCCTAACAAGAAATGACTTCTATCAGACAAGAGCCCTTAGGAGTGATCAGGAAAAAGCTGCAGCAGCCAGGCTGCTCTGAGGGTCAGAGCAGAAATGCTGCTTTAAAACAGCTCATCGTGATGTGGTGGAAGGGAAGTTTTACAGAGCATCTATGCATGTTATGAACTGATAATGCTGTAGCTGGTCCGTGGCTCCAGGCCTTTCCTTAAAGATGAGGGGTGCCGTCACGGTCTGAATAGTGATTCATATTCTCTCTCTCTCTCTCTCTCTCTCTCTCTGTCTCTCTCTCTCTCTCTCTTTCCCTCCCTCCTTCTCTTCCACTTCCCTCTCTGTGTATGTGTGTGTGTTCCTCAATAACTTCTGAGCTCACAAGGATACTTTCCCTAACAGAAATGACTCAGTCTGCGATACCCATGAAATGACTTCCCATCTTTCTGATGAGATGAAAAAAGTCAAAAATCACAGACACATCTTGTGTTCACCATTCTGAATATTCATCTCCTATTTATAATAATAATGTCTAGTACAATCCAAATGGCAAGAAAGGTTTCTTCTCATGAAGGCTTGATCTATTTCTCTTCTCCAACAAAATGACATTGTGATTAATTTTGTTTCCCTTTGTGTTCTGGCACCTGACAGTTTAGCATTCATTTTCCCAATCAACAACATCCTGAGGGCAGATCCTTAATGGCTTCTTTATTAATGTGCCTCCTACTTTCCTAGCACTGGCCTTGGCTAGCCTTTAGCACACACTCTCCCTGGCCCTCAGTGTGCGTGCTTCCCATTGACCTCTCACAACGTTGTGTTTCAGTATTCCACAGTGCTTGTCCTGGTGGAAGAAAGTAAGGCAGACGTGAATACAGCTGCCGCTCTGAGAGCCTACAACACCTGCATATTATAAGATGCTTGGGCTATCTTATGTTTAACTCTCACAAAATCCTCCCAGCCATTATTCCTCATATTAGGAAACCAACACCCAGAGAAAAACATATATTCAAAATCAAATGGTCATATGTGCAAGAATTTCAACGTGAGTCTGTCAAACAAAGCCTAAACTACTTTTATGCAATTTAAAATAGTTTATATTCTCTACTTATTCATCTATTTCTTTTACAATTTCATACGCACATAATAGAATTTGGTCATAGCCTCACCCCTGGTTACAACTCTTATCCTGTCTCACTTCCACCATTAAACAACAGAAAGTTGCTGTCAAATAAAAATATATAATTTATCTTAAATCATCAAACTATCGTTAAAGAACATTGAATATATTTTCATCATTGTTATGGGAGTGCTAATAGAACACCCTGGAAGTGATGAAGAACCCCCTCCCCGGCACTCTCAAAGCCTTTCTGTGAAACCCTAGGACTGTGAATGTGCCTGCTTGGTTTTTCAGCAGCAGATCCAGCCTTACCCCGTGCAACATTTCTGTAAGAGAAAAGAGCAAGCCGTCATGGCCAGGAGACATGAATGTTCCTTCATGAGCAACTTACCAATCATTTTGAGTCTTCCGATTCTGTCCATGAGCAGGGCAGAAATTATGTTCCCAGGCAAGACAGACAGGCTGCCGAGGAAGCTGACAAGGTAGATCAGAAAGTCATTGTCCTCCTCAAAGTCCATGTGGCAGCCCTCCTTCTGCTCCAGAAAGGTGGAGTTGATAAACCGACAGCCTATGAACTTGTTTTTGTAGAGGTCTGAGGAGAGAAAGAAGCCTCGGTTCGTGTGAGGGGATCGGAGCTGGGGGAAGAAAGGCAAATACTCAGATGCCTTCTTAATGCACAAGCTGTGACCTCAAAGTCACAGTGATGTCTGGCCAAAACTGTACTAACCTTCTCAAGTTCCTGTAATAAAGTGAAATGAAACTAGTACCAGTTGTGGAGGCCTTTCTACATGTGTATGTGTCTTTGGTATGTGCATGTGTGTATGTGTGTTCATATGTGTGGGCATATTTGCATGTGCACATGCATTTTTAGAAGATTTATTGATTTATTTATTGTTTATTCAGTGTTGTGCCTACATGTGTGCCTGCACACCAGAAGGGGGCACCAGATCTCATCAGAGGTGATTGTGAACCACCATGTGGTTGCCGGGAATTGAACTCAGGACCTTTGGAAGAGCAGCCAGTGCTCTTAACCTCTGAGCCATCTCTCCAGACCAGTGCACATGCATATTGAGACCTGAAGTTGTTGGATATCTTTCTTAGTCATCTCTCTACTTTACTTATTGAGGTAGGGCTCTTCACTGAAACTGGAGCTCACTCATTCCAGCTAGTCTAGCTAGCCAGCTTGTCTCTGCCCCTCTAGTGCTGGGATTGCAGGCATCTGCCACACCAGCTCTGTCTTTACCTGGGTTCTGAGGATCTGAACTCCAGTCCTCACACCTGTGTGGTAATCACATTATCCAGAACCATCTTCCCAGCCTTTAGGAGTCCTGTCTGTTGCTATCATGTGACACAGAGACCACGCAGTGACTGGGACACTCCTCTGAAGTGATCCATCTTAGAGAGCAGAATTTAAGAACGGGGGTTCGGGACTGGCAACAATAGATTAATAAAGTGCTACTGCAAAAGGATGAAGACCTGAGTTCGATTCCCAGAACCCACATAAAAACTGAACATGGTGGCACACATTTGCAAAGCCAGTTCTGGAAAGGTGGAAACGAATGGATTGCTGAAGCTTGTTGGCCAACCAGTCTAGCCTAATTGATGAGTTTCAGCTTCTGGTAAGCGATCCTGCCTCAAAACACAAGATGGAGAGCAACTGAAGAACAACACCGAAGGCTGACTTTCGGCACTCACACACAGACACACAAGAATTGGGGCCACCCTGAGCTGTCTACCGCAGAGCCCAGGCAGTAGCTTATCTGAAACCCTAAACTTCCTCAAAAGAAAAGCATTTGCTGTAAAAACAATTCACATGTCTTCTGATACTATCAAAGACCAACTCTTCTAGTAGATAGAATGCTAAATAGAGAAATCTGGGTTGGGATGGCTGACTCTACCATGAGATCTATCTACTTGAGCACCTACCTATAAAACCAAAGATGTTCGGAGACGAGATAGCTCAGATGGTAATGTGTCTGCCACGCAAATAAGGATCTGAGTTCGGTTCCCTGGCCCCAGTGTAAAAACACCAAGTATGGTAGCATGTTCCTATAATCCTAGATTTGGGGAAGCCACCATAGGAGAATCCTAAAGATTCACTGCTGAATCAGTGAACTCCAAGGTCAGTGAGAGACCCTGTCTCAAAAAGTAAGGTGAAGTGATGGAAAAAGACATTCAGTATCAACCTCTGTTTCCATATGTGCACAGGTACAAACTGTTGGAGGCATACACCTGACTATGGCCTTTGCTCCTCCCAGTAATGACATTTCCCAGCTACAAGTATTAGCAAAAAAATAAATAAATAAATAAAACAAAACAAAAACCTGTGTTGATTATGCAAATGAAGAGGCATTACTTGAACTTAAAAGAACGAAAACGTATGGCAAGTGATTAATGACAAATGGAACTTCTGAAATTCACTTTTTTGTTTCTTTGTTTTGTTTTTGCAACAGGGTTTCCCTGTATAGCCCTGGCCATCCTGGACTTGCTTTGTAGACCAGGCTGGTCTCAAACTCACAGAGATCTGCCTGCCTCTGCCTCCCCCAAGTGCTGGGATTAGAGGCACACCACGTCCAGAAATTCATTTTTTTTTTTTTAATGTAAAGCTAGGAAGAAATTCAGGAAGGCATTCCAATAACAGGTGATTAGAGACTGGGGAACTTTAGAGACCAGACAGTAAACCCTCTACCGCTGAGAGCACTAGGAGAAAGATGTTGTGAGAACTATCTGTTGACATCGATGGAAGGAAGCATAAATACGGACATGAAGCATGATCGGTACAAAGAGCTTTTTGAGCCAAGTAATTGAGAAACCGGTTCAGGCTCCATCTCCTTGCTAGCTGTGGCCTTGAGTAGTTGATTAAGCCCTAAAGTAGGGATAATCAGAATACATTTCTCCACCGAGACCCTGGTAGGGAGGACTCCCATAATACTCAATGAGCGTCCCTGTGTCCCAGCGGCACTCAGAGGTCGTTAAGCCATGATGAGCACAGTGGAAGTAGCAAGAGTGATGGAGTGCCGGAATTCGGTGATTTTTTTTTTAAACATGAAAATCTGAAACAGTGTGATTCTAAAACGTTCTTGGTGCCTTGCCTTATGCATCAAATCTGAACAGAGTTAACATTCCCTTTTGATTTATAATCGGTATTTTTTTCTTTTTTTTTATTCTTTATTAATTACACTTTACTCACTTTGTATCCCCCCTGTGGTTCCCTCCCTCCTCCCATCTCAATCCCTCCCTTCCTCCACCCTCTGCATGCATGCCCCTCCCCAAGTCCACTGATAGGGGAGGTCTTCTTTTCCTTCCTTCTGATCCTAGTCAATTAGGTCTCATCAGGAGTGGCTGCAGTGTCTTCTTCTGTGGCCTGGTAATGTTGCTTCCCCCTCAAGGGGAGGTAATTAAGGAGCAGGCCAATCAGTTCATGTCAGAGACAGTCCCTGTTCCTATTACAATGGAACCCACTTGGATACTGAACTGCCATGAGCTACATCTGTGCAGGGGTCTTAGGTTATCTCCATGCATGGAATATTACTCAGCAATAAAAAACAAGGAAATCATGAAATTTGCAGGTAAATGGTGGGATCTGGAAAAGATCATCCTGAGTGAGCTGTCCCAGAAGCAGAAAGATGCACACAGTATATACTCACTCGTATAGACATATAATATAGGATAAACCTATTAAAATCTGTACATCTAAAGAAACTAATCAAGAGGGAGGACTCTTGCTAAAATGCTCAATTCCTATACAGAAAGGCAAAGAGGATGGACATCAGAAGAAGGAGAAAAGAGGGAACAAGTTAAGAGCCTGACACAGAGGACCTCTGAAAGGCTCTGCCCTGCAGACTATCAATGCAGATGCTGAGACTTATGGGCAACCTTTGGGCAGAGTGCAGGGAATCTTGGGAAAGAAGTGGGAAACAGTAAGATCTGGATAGGACAGGAACTCCACTAGGAGAGCAACAAAACCAAAAAATCCTAGCACAGGGGTCTTTCCTGAGACTGATACTCCAACCATGGACTATGCATAGAGATAACCTAAGACCCCTGCACAGATATTATCAGTATTTAATCGCGCAAGTTTTAAGTATGCGCCGTCTCTAGGAATGAATCCCAGGTTGAAAATGCAGCCCTCCCAGAATACTGGTTTTATGAATGCCATACTATACTTTTTTTATAGCATCATTCTCATTCAGATGAAGACAATTGGCAAAGATTTCTGCTTCAATTGATTTAAAAAAACTAAGCCACGGTATAGACTGAGCAAATGCCAGGATGACATCTGATGTATGCCCTCTTTGGGGGGAGAAGCCGTTTCTCTCCCACTACCACTGTTGGCTATGAAGCCCTTCCCTCTTGCTTCAGCTCTGACTATGGGCCTTGGCTCCTAGGCTTCAGGCCACCTTTGTGTATTCCTCCCAGTGTGGCCATCTCCTTACCTGTGTTGTAGAAGGTGGTTGACTCGATGGTGCAGTTCCTGAAATAAGTATCTGTGGATGTCACATCTTCAAAATAGCATTTGTCAAAGAATGTGTTCTCAAAGAGGACATGTTTAAAGTACATCTTTACGAACCTGTGAGGAAGACAGTAAGTATCCTTGAGTGAAGCAACCCAGGGAAAGAAGCATGCTCGTGACCAAAAGGGAAAACGCAGAAGGACAGAAACAAGAACTGCACGGCAAAGGTGGCAGAACACTACTTCAAGCCAGACTACTTTCCCACTTTACAGCTCCTTTTCTGTTGCTGACATTGTGCTCTGGGACCATGGAATAGAGCATCTGGTCCAGGCGTATTTGGAGGAGTCTGCACCAGAGGCATAGCTGCCAAGTTCAGATCCATCAGAGTGACAGAAACACGAAAAGCATGAAATGGAGATCCAACCAACAGCTCACTTTCCCGTGAGTCTTGAACCTGGGCAGATGCCCGGGCTACTCCATCATGTTAGCAGATGGGCACCGTCCTGAATACTGGTAGCAGGGTGTAATCAGTGTAGTTTTTTTGGAGAACAATCTCGCAAAATTTAAATTGTACATTTTCTTTGACTTAGAAATTATCTTACATTTATTTGTTTATGTATTCAAGGAGATGCATGCTGGTCTTCATAGCAACATTGCTTATCATAGCAATGACTTGCTACATGCATTCACCTACAGGCATGTGTATGTGCATACATGAGAACTAAATAAATGGTACAGATACCATACAGTATAATACTATATGGCCATTACAGTAAATAAGGCAGATCTGTATGTATTAACATGGAACAATATTTAATATTTGTCTTGTAAATCTCAACACTTGGAGATGCTGAAGCAGGAGGATTGCCTTGAGCTTAAGCTAACCTGAGCTACCTAGTGAGTTACTGGACAGCCTGGGCTACAAGCAAGCCTCTGTCCAGAAAGGAAAAAAAGTGATGGAGGGAGGAAAGAAGGGGTGATATATTAAGTAAAAAAAAAATGTCCTTAAGTCAAGATATAGTATAAAGTTGACAAAATATGATACACATGTTTTCAAATACACCTTCAGAATTATCCCACAAAATGAAAGCAGTTGTGGAGCCTTGAATTGGTATAATAAGGATAGAAATTGGATCAACTTAATTTTCACTTTAGACCAAGGATATGGGGGGTGTTGTTTCACTTAAAAACATCCTGTCAATAATAAGTAAGGCATCTGGATAGTCATGAGATGCAGCCACATTGGGAGGCCACTTTGCTCAACTCCAACTCTCTTGTCAACTTAGATGGAAAGAAAGTCTCTTCCATGCACGTTAATATCATCCTCTGAAGCTTTGTCAGGTGTTTAGGCCGGGAGCCTTTGAATAAGTCCTCACTAGTGAATAAATACAAGCCACTCATTCCTTCATACATTTTCCCAGTCACTCTTTAGCCAGCCCTTTCTGAACATGGTCCTAGTGAGTAGGTACCAGGTCCTGTGAGTAGAGAGAAAAACCATGTCCCTTGCCCTTCCATCTAAGTGATGGGAAGAAGTGATACTTTGAGCCAAGTAAACCACTGCCAGATAGTGGAATCACAGGGGCAGAGCAACACAGGGTGCTGAGGGTCATTGTTTCTCATCAGTACCCTGAGAAGATGCACTTTCTGACCATTTTGGCCAGTGTTCCACTGTGCACTGCTCAGAGCCTAACCTAGAGATACTCATCACTAATGTCTGCAAAGGGGCCTCCTTCCCCAAAGAAGGCTTGGGCCAGTGATTGCCACAGTGATAGCCCCTGACCACACCATCAGAATAAAACTATTGTGAAATGTTCAGGTTCCATTGCTGGACATGGCGATGAACACCAGCAATCCCAGCACTAGAAGTCTGGACAATCAAGAGTTCAAGGCTAGCCTGAGATGTGTATAGTGAAACCTCATTTAAACAATATAATCTGGAAAAAAAATATTTCTGGTGTAATACAATCGCATGTGCACAAGGAAATATAATTGCACCAAAACTTGGCAGGGTATGTGTCATTTCTTCCAAAATGATAGGTTCCAGAGATAGGCTACCTGTGCTAGCTTAACTCTGACCTGGTCTCAGTCACACAGATAGCAGAGGTTCATTTGGGCTATTAACCACCTCTGGTCCTGGTTGGGAATGCTTGAGAGATTTCTAGCTCTATGGTCATTTGGATTACTAGCCACTTCGGTCCTGGTTGTAGGAGCTTGATATGGCCTGGCCCACAGATAATGCCGATCACCAGGCTCTTAATCACTTTCAGTTCCCGGCTTTCTGGACGGAGGTTTTACTTCTTTCCCATGGGCAAGACAATCTTGCTTACATTCCCGGTGTCTCTGGAGATCTATAAGTGAGAGGACCTTCACACTTTGCTCCCAACAACTCCGAATCCCTTTTCGTAGGCACGAACTTGAATGGACACTTAAACTCAAGCTTACAGAATTTGTCATTAACTTTCCGGTTTCCACAGAAAACTAACTGGGACATGGAAGATAACACCTGTCCACTCAGCACTTAGGAAGCTGAGATGGGAGAATGGCTATGAGTTAGAGGCCAGCTGTACGAACAGAGTAAGATCCTGTCCGAGGAAAAAGAGTGTGGTGACACCTGCCTATGATCCCAGCATCCCAGCATTGAGGAGGCAGGAGCAGGAAAATCAGGAGTTCAAGCACCCTCAGGCAAGAATTTGTGTCCAGCCTGGCCTACTTGAGACCCTGTCACAGAGGGGAATGGGGAGGAGAGTAGGAGAAGGGAGGGGAAGAGAGAAACAAAAAACGAATTGGAACATTTTTATTACAGGAAGATGCCTGTGGTTTCAAATATCGCACGCCATATGTGTTAATGTGGGACTACTATTCCACTCTCAGCCTTTGCCGTTCTTAAGATATCCTTCTTTTTAATATAATAACGGCTGGTGACACGGCCTTCAGAGGTATTTTAATATCCTTCCAAGGGTGAGCCATAAATTAAAAATGAGTCTGACGCAGGCAGACCTTAAAATGTGTCTCCAAGTGGGTTATAAAAAGCCAGAGTTATAAGGAAAAAGATAAAAGGAGAAAGGACCAACACACAAAAATCATCTCTTCCAATATCAAACTTATACACTGAGTCATTCCAAGATTCCTCATTCAGAAGGTTCGGAGGCTGAAAGCAATGTCATAAAAAAAAAAAAAGGTACAATGGTACTCTTGGGAGACTGGACCAGGGAATTATGGGTTCAGGCACAACCTGAGCTACATGGTGAGGTCCTGTCTCTAAGTAAAGAGATGGGGGTGAAGAGTGGGCTAGAAAAAGTTTCAGTATCTTCTGTTCCTTTAAGGAGAGAGAGACTACTACTAATGCAGAGTCCGGGACAAAATTATTATGGCAACTTTGCTGAGCCCACTAGGTTCTAGGGAATAGTACTAGATCTGTGGTCATACGGGCAGCCCTGGTTAAACCCAGGGAGGGGTCATAAGCAATGCAAAAAGACACAACTGTGTGAAATAGGGTTGAGAGAGAAGTAAGGCAGGGTGGAGGTGAGAGTAGTCGGAATGCATTCTGTATGTATGCCTCCTAGTAGTGGGCTCTCCACGTCTCACACCCGTGGGCATGCATGCAGTACTAATTTGACCTAGTGGGTTATAAAACAAAAGAGAGGAAGACAGGAAGAAGAAGGAGGAGATGAAAGTGAAAGGGGGAGTACTGGGGGAGCCCAGGAGGGAGTATGAGGAAAATTATGGTTGGATATGATCAAGATTCAGTATATACGTGTAGGAAATTGTTAAAGAATGAACAAAATATTATTTTTAAAAATAATGCATTGGATAGACTCATCAGGACGCTTGTCACAACAAAAAGAAGGAATCACTGAAATTACGCATAACTCAAGAGAAATTGCCAATATGGAAACACAAAGAGAAAAATAAAGGAGAGAAAAAAAAAAACAACCCAACATCCAAATCCTGTGAGGAAATACAGGGCAGTCTAATATAGGTACAACTCATAATTCACGATGGGAAAAGGGAGAGAATTTGGCAGAAAAAAATATTTGTGGAGATAATGGTGAATACTTTTCCTAAAGCAACATGAAAACGAAACAGTAAGTTTTGTAAGGAGCGTGAGAAGTTCACAGAGGAAGTACCAGAAGAAGGAAAAAAAATTGAAGAAAGACGCATCTTATACACAAACAATAAAAGCAACAAATTCAAGGCCAGGTGTGGGACACATGCCTTTAATACCAGCACTGGGGAGGCAAAGGCAGGCAGACTTCTGTGAGGTCAAGGCTGCCCTGCTCTCTGTCACCGTGAGTTCCAGAACAGCCAGGGCTACACAGTGAGACCCTGTCTGGGAGGGGACGGAGAAGGAAATTCTTGAAAGGAGGAAGATTTTTTTTTCTCAATCACATCAGATAGATAAAACAGTAGCAGGGCCTAGTGAGATGGCTCAGCAGGTAAAGGCTCTTATCGCACAGCTTGTGAAGGACCAATAGTAAGGAAAAGTGTTAGGGGCTCAACTAGGTACAAAGTAAGCCTCCAAAATCAATAGGGTTCCTACGTACCTGAGTGCCCAACCAACACTTCAAAGTACCCAGGAAGATTCTCAAGAAGAACCGCACAGGACCCATATAACGCAAGAAATCGTTCTGAGAAATTCTGCCACATAATCTGATAGGGTTCGTACCTGAACTGTAACCTTCAAGTGTGGGCTGTGAGGCTGGACAGGCCAGTAGATTCCAGCATGTGCCTGTGCTCAGCACCTATCGTTGGCCTTTGAAATTAGCCGCACTGGGTGTTTAAAACCACGTCTTACTTATGTGCTTCTGAAAGGGACCCTGACAGCATGGTGACCTTTCGCGCCATGGATGAAACCTGCCTCTGCTCATTGCATATTTTGCCTTCCTCCTCTTCTCTCCCTGCTTCCTGCCATGCTCACTGTACCTCACTTAGAGGTAAATCTCACATGCCTCATTTTCACTCTGAGCTATTCACCACTGACCTTTAATGAAATCCCTGTTGACTTTATATGACTTTAATAAGAAAGCCTTTCTACCCCCCTTGCTGGCAAGTCAGCTATGTGAATGGTGGAGCATTACCACTTCAGGTCCAGCCCTGAGTGTTCAGAGTATAGCCTTGACTTCCCTTCTGCTGTGAGGAAAGACAGGGTGGGGGTGGGAGGGTCAGGACTTCACTTCCAGGGTCCCGGACTTTCACAGACACTCTCCCCGGTATGATTCCCCAAGCCTGACCCTCTCACAAGCCAGTCCCGACAATCTCAAATCACTCCCTCCCAGCAGCAGGCACGTTAATTAGCTAGCTTCTTAGTTAACATGTACTCAGATGGGAGCCTGCTCTTTCTTTTAGTTACTAATAAGGGGAATCTGACCTGTCCTTTTGTCTAAGAGCATACGATATGAATTTAATCCTTTGCCTTTCTCGCACCTTGAAGAACTCAAAAACTCTGAGACAAACTGCATGTTGGGACTCAGGGGCACTGTGTCCCAGAAGATGCACCAGGTGGCAGTGGATAATCCCTTGGGGGTGGGGCCAAAACTAACCAGTGAATGGGGATAGGTTTCTCAGCAGGATAAGGGGTAGCTTTCGGTGGAGAAAGTCTGAGACTCTTTCCATAGAAGTCATTTTCTCCACGTGATTTAGTCAATAAAATCAATTACTTTCATCTAAATTCTGAAGCACTATCATATGCACGATGAAATACTGGCACAATGGTTAGACTCTGAGGAAGAACAGCGCGGGTGCTTTGAAAGAAAACGCACTGTTACAGGTTGACCACCAGATGACAGCCTAACACAAGAAGAGAAGGAAGCATGGTGTATTTTCAAATCAGTCCATGAAGACAAATACACTTTGAACTCAACAGGCTTCGGAGGAAATTTTATGTATCCCAAGTGACAGTGCCAATTGTATTAAGGTTCTGAATAGGGAATTTATGGCATTGGCAGAGACTTGTCTAGACCATGGTATCTCCAGCAATGCCACATAGTTCGATAGTCATTGGCACACCACTTAACTCAGTGACCTTGCTAGGTACAGTTCCAGAAGGCAAGCTTCAAGGGGTCCGGGCACATCTTGAAGAACAGTATGTCCTGCAGCGAGCTTATCTAATGTCCTGCCTCTATCTACTATTTCACCTCCAGGGGGCAGCCTCAGAGAGCAGGCTAAACTGCAGCCATTTCATTTGTCCAAGAAGTAGAGAAGAGTCAAATGGTGCATTCTTGGATGCACCCTCACAACAATGTGGGAAGAACCTTTCTAATACTCCACTGATTTCTCCCTTGAGGACAAGACCAGCCCTGACCACAGAACACAGTGGTCCATCTTCTGAGGTAGTATTATATGAAGAAGAGCAAAAGTAGTTCCATAATAGCTTTGCACAGAGAAGCTTCCAGAATCAAAGGAAAAGCTCAATATCCAGGCCACAGACTGTTTCAAGGACCTCCGCACTAAAAGCCGTGGATCCTTTATTTCCCGGTGCAATTGCATAGCCCATGGTCACTCACAATTGTCAACAACACTCTGGGAGCTTGCTATGCACAGTTCAAGCTCAAAGGAGGACATGGTCAGCCTAGTAAATAATGTGGCAGCATGATAGAAAGTGGCTTTCTGTTCCCTTCCATCAAAGGAGCAAGTTCTCAGGAAAGATGTTCCGATTGGCCACCCCCCCCCACCAAATGTCACGTCATCTCCTGGCAGTGTAATGCAGACTCAGCCATCAAGGGTCTATAGTGTCTCTAGCAGCCAGGATGGGTTGTAAGGATCCTGGAGCTCATTCTTAGTGCACTGAACTCTTATCTTCCCAATGATCTCTTCCAAGGGAGGCCCCAGTGACTGTCAGGCAGGCCCGAGTGACACTCAGGCCCATGGCCACACACTTACTTATCATTCACAAGCTTCCCATGTTGGTGGATCTGGTTTTCCATCGTGAAGTTGATCGTGGCACCATGCACATGCTCACCAAAGAACACTTTCATTTTGGACTTGTATTCTACATCTTGGAAATACCGGATCATGTCAGGAAACCATACCGTAAGGCCATAGTAACTGCAAGAGAGAAGGAAAAAAAAAAAAAAAAGAAAAGAAAAGAAGCTAAGAAGCCTCCAGGCTCATTCTGTCAGCATTAGAGTATGTATCCATGACTTCTGGTAGGTCATACTTAATGTAGTAAATAGGTTCATTGTTAGAAAATTGAATACAAAATTCAGTATCTTAACACGTCCAAGAGACAGAAGAAAACAGTATTCTGAAATGCATTTGATTAAAAAGCAATCTACAGATTCAATGCAATTCCCATCAAATTACCAACATAATTCTTTACAGAACTTGAAAGAAAAAATTCTCACCTTCATATGGAACAACAAGAAACCCAGAATAGCTAAAACAATTCTCTACAATAAAAGATCTTCTGGAGGTATCTCCATCCCTGATGCAAGCTGTACTATAGAGAAACAGTATTAAAAACTGCATGGTACTGGCATAGAAACAGAGTGGTGGAGCAATGGAACCGAACAGAAGATCCAGAAATAAGCCCACACAGTTATGGACACCTGATCTTTGACAAAGATGCCAAAACCATACAATGGAAAAAAGATAGCCTCTTCAACAAATGGTGCTGGTCCAACTGGATGTCTACATGTAGAAAATGCAAATAGATCCATACTTATCACCCTGCACAAAACTAAAGTCCAAGTGGATCGAAGACCTCAACAAAACCAGACACATTAAATCGGTTAGAAGAAAAAGTGAGGAAGACCCTAGAACTCATAGGTACAGGAGACAACTTCCTGAACAAAACACCAACAGCACAGGCTCTAAGAGCAACAATCAATAAATGGGACCTCATGAAACTGAAAAGCTTCTGTAAAGCAAAGGACACTGTCATCAAAACAAAATGACTGTCTACAGATTGGGAAAGAATCTTCACCAACCCTTTATCTGACAGAGAGCTAATATCCAGTATATATAAAGAACTTAGGAAGCTGAAAAGCAACAAACCAAGTAATCCAATTAAAAAAATGGGGAACAGAGCTAAACAGAGAATTCTCTGTAGAGGAATATCGAATGGCAGAGAAACACTTAAAGAAATGTTCAACGTCATTAGCCATCAGGGAAATGCAAATCAAAACGACCCTGAGATTTCACCTTACACCCATCAGAATGGCTAAGATCAAAAACTTAAGTGACAACACATGCTGGAGAAGTTGTGGAGAAAAAAGAACTCTCCTCCACTGCTTGTGGGAATGAAAACTGGTACAACCACTCTGGAAATCAATCTGGTGCTTTCTCAGACAATTAGGAATAGCGTTTCCTCAAGATCCAGCTATACCACTCCTAGGCATATATACAAAAGAGGCTCAAGTACACAATAAGGACATTTGCTTAACCGTGTTTGTAGCAGCCTTATTTGTAATAGCCAGAAGCTGGAAACAACCCAGATGCCCCTCAACTGAAGAATGGATGCAGAAATTGTGGTACATCTATACAATGGAATATTACTCAGCAATAAAAAAACAAGGAAATCATGAAATCTGCAGGTAAATGGTGGGACCTGGAAAGGATCATCCTGAGTGAGCTATCTCAGAAGCAGAAAGACACACATGGTATATACTCACTCATGTAGACATATAATATAGGATAAACCTACTAAAATCTGTACACCTAATCAAGAGGGAGGACTCTGACTAAAATGTTCAATCCCCATCCCGAAAGGCAAAGAGGATGGACATCAGAAGAACAAGAAAACAGGAAGCAAGTTAGGAACCTGCCACAGAGGGCCTCTGAAAGGCTCTGCCCTGTAGACTATCAAACCAGTGCTGAGACTTATGGCCAACTGTTGGGCAGAGTGCAGGGAATCTAATGAAAGAAATGGGAAATAGTAAGATCTGGAAAGGATAGGAGCTACACAAGGAGAGCAAAAGAACAAAAAATTTGAACACAGGAGTCTTTCCAGAGACTCATACTCCAACCAAGTACCAGGCATGGAGATAACATAGAACCCCTGTACAGATGTAGCCGAAGGCAGTTCAGTGTCCAAGTGGGTTACATAGTAATGAGAAGAGGGACTGCCTCTGACATGAACTGATTGGCCTGCTCTTTGATCACCTCCTCCTGAGGGGGGAGCAGCCTTACCAGGCCACAGAAGATGACAATGCAGCCACTCCTGATGAGATCTCATAGACTAGGATCAGAAGGAAGGAGAGGAGGACCTCCCCTATCAGCGGACTTGGGGAGGGGCATGTGTGGAGAAGGGGGAGGGAAGATGGGATTAGGAGGGGAGGAGGGAGGAGTTTATGGGGGGATACAAAGTGAATAAAGTGTAATTAATAAAAATTAAAATAAAAAGCTTTTTTGTTATTAAGCAAAATAATTGCCAATAGATTAGGGACTGGTCGACTCTTCCCTGACCTATAGAAGGCATAACTTAACTCAAAAGCCAGAACTGCAGTAAAAAAGGGACATGCTAAGGATATTCGTGTGAGGAGCAAAACAACATGTTCTTCACCAGTGACTGACTTAGCAGCTCTTAGACAACCTGGTTAGATGGGAGAAAGAAAACAGGAAAGGGTACTGAGCAGAGTTCAGCTGATAAAGAACTCATCATACAAGATGAGGAGTGGATGAGCCAGATGATGAGGTACCAGCATAAAGGCCAGGTAGACAAGATGGCCCACCTGGATAGGTGAAGACAAGGAATCCCTAGGGCAAGCTGGCTAGCTAGACTAGACAAATCAGCACGGTCCAGGTTCTGGAACACCCTATCTCAGTAAATAAAGTGGAAACAATCTGGAAAGATATCCAGCTTTGAATGTCTGTCTTACACAGGAGCATGCATGCATGAACACACACACAAACAAACAATATACACTTGAATATACATACATACACATACCACATAGATACAGGACACAAATGTAGAAATGCAAAATTAAAAAAATATCTCTCCCTTTGAATAATATAGTTTATACCCCAAACCCAAAGATGCCAACTGATAGCAACCGATATTATCAGACTGACAGAAAAGATTTGCTCTGTTCTATTGATATCAAGAAAAGCACATACGGAGGAGAACTTACTGATGCCTAAAAATATTTCTGATGCTTTATCTCTCTTGACCCTTGAATCCCACATCCAGGAATCTAGGCCACTGACAAAGCAGCCCCGTGCAAAGTGTCCTGCACACGGGGCTGGACATTGTGGAGCTGTTTACAGTAACAAACTCTAGAAACTCCCAGATGTCTAGTAAGGAGGTCTTGGCTAGTGATCAGTGATGGGGTAGTGTGGGGTACTACTCAGACACATTGTTCCACTTCAGAGAAGGAAGGGCAATGTGTGGTAGCACACGCCCACCGTCCCAGCCCTTAGCAGGTGGAGGCAGGAGGATCAGGGATTCGAGGAAAGCCTCAGCTGTGTATGAATTTGCAGACAACCTGGTCTACATGAACCCTACCTTAAAACAAGGAAGGGAAAGGAAGGAAGGAAGGAAGGAAGGAAGGAAGGAAGGAAGGAAGGAAGGAAGGAAGGAAGGAAGGA